AAGATATAAGGTATTGTAAGGAGCATCGGGAGCTGAAGGGGGGCATTACCCTCACATTCAACCCCCCACATTCAGCCCTCTTGTGACGGAATATAATCAAAGCTCCTAAGTCGCGCTCATTTCCTCCTTGTTCGCCATTGTGAGGGAGGAGGCCGTTAGCCCACCGCGCGGCGCGATGCGGCTCTTTTTCGAGATTAATGAGAAAACTTCTCGAGTCTTCCATATTCAAACTACCCCTCGCTGTGGTTATCCTCGGTTCAATTGACCGAAAAACTCCACAAAGGTCTTCTGGTTGGAATGGAAGCCTTATTATGATTATTGAGAATGGAGCAAATGGCCGGAAATGGTTTGTAACTCTGATTCTAGAAGTTCCAAGGTGTAAAATAAACATATAGTTTTGAGAAATCCGCTAATCCCATTGCTGCAAAATGAATAAAAATTCATATTAAGCATTCGATACCTCTGAAATTAGAAAATATAATAAAAATCCTTAAAGGAACAAATAATTATTTTTAAAATCATATGAAACAGGACTGTTTTAATAAATTTTTTGATCATTAACTGATCTTCAATATGTCATTTCGATGGAAACAAAATGACTAAGGAGTAACATACATTTATTTCTAATTAAATATTAATGAACGCTTATTAGAATTATTATCAAAGCAATTATCTAGTATTATGTCATCCTATAAAGTATCTTTAATGTTGTTTATTCCTGTCCGCCAATCATTTTTAATTCGATACCTCTTCCCTACTCAGACACAGTCCGATACCTTGGCTTCCTTCTAGACCAAACATTAACTTGGAATTCGCATACGAGACTTAAAAGACAAGAGCTTAACCGACGATGTGGTCAGTTAAATAGACTATTAAAAAGAACATCTCATCTCTCAACAGAAAACAAATTATTAATCTACAATACCATACTAAAACCTATCTGGACCTAAGGACTTGATCTGTGGGAGATACCTAAATCGTGGAATATCAAACGTATCCAATCCTTCCAGTCTATAGTCCTTCGAACAATTGTCAATGCTCCATATTATGTCATGAACAAGACCCTACACCATGACCTTAACATCGCATATCCATTGTATCCATCCAGATTCTCAAACTTTCACTAAAACCTTATTCGTCATCTCAATCCTCGCAATCTCTATAGCGCAATCTCTATCCAATCCATACCACCCCCCTCGAAGGTTTAAATGGCTGTAGACTCGAGATATTTTGTAAATATGTCTTTAGAGACCTGGCAATGGCCAGCTTCTCCACTCATGTCCTGAGTGTCTGTGGCTCTAGTGCTCTCTTTCGGTCTCCACTGGGCTTCTAATACTAGTGTTGTGACCTAGCCTGGCTCGGAGATTTCTGGATGAATGTATATAGATATGTATGTGTTTAGAAGTTTTTATTTTATTTGTTAATTTTTTCTTTTAATTTACTTTTTTTCATCAGTATTATTTATTTACTTTTTTATATTTATAGTTATTTCTCTATTATTTGTATATATTGTATGAATGAGAACTTTTAGCCTTCACACTTATAGTCCTCCAGCAGTGGCTGATATTATTAAATAAATAAAGTATATTTATAATGTTGTTTATTGGAGGTAAACAAAATTAAATTTGTACTATTTATGACAATAATAGGCATTTACTCTCATTGCAAGGAGCAATGCGAAATAGATAGGAATGAAATAAAATATAATTTCATATTTAAGTAACGGAGAAAATTTTGAATGAATATGAGAAAATATGAAAAAAGGCATATTTTCACAGATTGAAAATAAACTTCCGGAATCAAGAATAGTGGTATCGAGGTATGGTAAATCCTGAGAAAGCTAAATAATTCAGAAACAAATAATATGTAACATATGAGATTTTAGGAGGTATTGGAGAGTTACGAAAGCCTACGATTTAATTTTTTAATACGAATTTTAATTTTTGTAGTGAATAATGGCTACCTTTATATTACTGAATGAGAAATAAACATTTACATCTAATTTCGATAGACAATATATGGAAAATCATTTTTTTTTTCACCTTAATAATCCAAATAAAATGTTTTGTTTTTTTATTTATTTAGAAATATAACAATCTGTCACGTGGACAATAATTATAGTGACATATGAATACAATCATACCATGTTTAATAAATGCTTAAATATTTAATATGAATTTTCATAATTTATATTAATTATATTAGTTGCCCAAAATCGGCACTTTGCAAGACCGAGACTAATACCACCTAAGTGTTGCAAGAAGAATGAATACAAAATAGTTACTAATTATTGACAATTTTTTTTTACTATATTTAAAGAATTGGTAACACTTTTGAATTTAACTCTTCCTATTTTTCATTTGGGCTTAGTTAGATTTCAGCAATCTGAAAAATTACCATAATATCTCTGTATAAATAAGTTGATAGATAACTGCAAAACTATTGCGAGACTCTTTCGCAAGACCAAGACTGAGAGCGCAAGACGAAGACTCGTCTTGGCCTCGCATATGGGTAACACTAATTATCTTATATCTTATAATCAAAGTTCTTGCTTTTTATTGTAGTACTGAGTCAATAACATATGGATACAACGTACCTCTCCTTACATCAGTCTTTCATGATGTTGCCATACTGTTGAAAAAGTTACCTTAATTGATATTGTAAATCTTCATTATATATGTTTAATTTGTCTATTAACCTTGTGGAATTCCTACGTCCTAACCTTCAACTTCAGCTTAAGATGATAACCAGCATTGGAAATCTACCCAGCATGGCCCACCCCTCGGACAGAGACCGTCGAGGAAGGGGGCTTGAGGCTGGTGGCTGCGGGTGAATCTAGTTAGAGCGAACAGGCCATCTCATTAGACCTTCCTCGTCTGTGGTCATCCAGCCCCTTCATTCTCTTCCCTTTTAGTCCTACTCAAATATTTAACGACACCGGCTTCATGTCACGTATTGTCTCCGTATAGGATGTCGGGCCAACTTTAGGGGCCTACGCAACTTCTCCAGGAGGGAACTTGTGGCCAATTGTGGTTAGGCAGTGGAGTTGGAAAGTTTAGCAAGTGTGACTATCGACCCAAGTTGTGATAAAAAGGCATAAGGCTGGTTTCTGATTTCACTTGTTTACCGATAAAAGTTTTTTTATTTTAATTTAAACAATATAAAAAACAAAACAATTCATTATCCTTCACAGTCATTGGCAACATCTTCAACTTAAACTTTATTATAGCTTAACTCTTTTCAAGAATTCCAATGTTTTTTAAACCGCTTTTTGGCTTTCGTTTTAATTTTCTTTCAGATCTGATCCTACATACAATTTTCCCTCTATTGGATATTTACTAGTTGACCGTTGCATTATATAGGAAGGAGATGATCCGGGGTGGCGGTCATAAATAGGCTAAATAGTGGCAAAGCTATTTTATTAAAAGCCAACGTTTCGACCCGAATTTGCAGGTCTCCTTCAGAGAGGTGTGTTCAGCTAGGAGTTTCACTTAGAACTCAGTTAGCCTATTTATGACCGTCACCCCGGATCATCTCCTTCCTTTAATTTTCCCTCTATGTAAATGTAGCGCAGTCTTGTATAATGTATTTAACATTAAAGCTCTTAAGGATTGGAGGTTAAAGTACTCTTTGTAAATAAGCATATGAAAACTCACAATGTCCAGTCTTTAATCGGAAGAGGACAGTTTTTTCTTTCTTCGGCAAAAAGATTCAAATTTGGAACAGTGGCTTTTTATTACCTATAATTTAGATTCTTTGAGTAACTGTCTTGAAGTCCCAACATAGGATTTTCCACAGATGTATTTTCTAGGGATTTCATATGCAATGTATGACGGTAATAATAATTTTTCTGTTTCTTGGATTATATGGAATATTCTTGTTACAGTAAAAATATTTTTAAACGTTTCATAAATTTTTATTTTTGTTATTCGTAGTAGTTGTTTTTATTCATCATTTCAAATTTATTTGTATGTATGGAATTGTGTAGTATACTTTACCGCTGGTTTTATATTGTGGTTGTTTCTGTTTGTTTGTTTCGACGTCTAGGCGCAAAACATCCATGTCATCAGCGCCCGATTAACTATATAATACTACTTTTATACTGTTCAGGTGGTCGGTACAAAAAATAAAAATGAGAAAAGGATAAAAAAAAAAAGAATTAATAGATAATAAGATAGAATAGATAAATAAATAAATAAACTTTTAAAAAAATAGCAATAAATGAATTGAAATTAATAAATAAATGAACGCTAAAAATATAAAATAAAATAAAATAAAAACAAATCTGCAAAGGATGATACAAGTTATAAACTTGTTTTTAAAATTTGTATGTTTTATAATTTTTTCATTGTCTATGAACTTCATAACTTTGGTAAGGAATCCTTCTTGATTTTCCAGGGTGGTTGTTTCAGAATTTGTGATAGTGTATGTTTGTTTTAGTAAATTGTAATTGAGTGTCCAAGTAGTAAATGAAATCAATATCGATTATTAAAAAAGAAACGATTTGAATGGAATTGAAGTGATGTAAATTTCAAACTGCATAAATAATCCAATTTCATTATATCTGTACACAATTTATATATATTAATTCTTCTCTTAAGTATGTATATCAACTTATCTGATATCTATGTCATTCCTAACACAATTATATATATATATATATATATATATATATATATATATATATATATATATATATATATATATATATCTGAGTTGGTTATTATACCGAGATTTTTGTCCACGATTCTGTATTATTGTAGTGATATTAATATGTAATATTTAATATACAGAGAAAATCCGTAATTTCTTTCAGAACTGATAATGCAATGAAGTAATGTATAAATGTGAGTACAGTGTATTTTATGAAATAACTTTTTCACCCGCGAACAATATAATTAATTTAGCCTTAGGTAATAATTTCTTTAAAATTACAAAGTAAACAGTACATTAGAAACTTGTAATCCAACAAAATGAATTTCGATACTCTTTAAGTTAAGTTACAAAGTAATCTCTTCAAGTCCTGTAAAAAAAAACTTTGTTAAGTTGAATTACTTGGACAGGCAATTTTAAAAAATGATTAGTGACCTGATCGGCTTAGAGCCATCTCGGTTTCGAAGGCTCTGGTACCCACTTATTATTTCTGCCATCGTTCTAAACTCGGTGGAAGCCAATCTAACTTTAACACTATCTATCATCTCTCTGTTCCTGTTTCGTATCCTTCCTTCGCCAACTGAGTTCTCTAAGTTTTCTGATACTTCCCAAGTACACGAATTTCGTATTCCATCCAGGGTCATCGAAGGAACAAACAAATTTGATCCCTGGGTTTTAAAAATATCTATTTCAATAAATTATTTCAAAGAAAGTTCAACAGCTGTTTCCTTTGCCCCATTAAGCTTTTCAAATGATTTGGTTTCCAGTTTAAAATATAGTATAATTTGGCATTTCTACAATATGTATTTTGATCGTGTTGAAATTTACAGTGTTATACATTTCGAAATTTTTTTCTGAAAAATTGTTTCTCCTATAACTTAATACGTCTTTTAATTTAAAAAAATAGCGTTCAACATGACCGATGTAAGGGGACTCAGTTTGTAACAAGCAACCACTGCAGGTTCTTCATTAACATCTATAAAGTTTAATGCAGTCGTTATATTTTTTTTATGAGTGTAACCTGCACCTTTTTAGTTTCGCTTATTATATTATGGAGTACAATATTGGAGTTGTAATTTTTCCTATTGCACTATTGGGTTTTTTTTTTTAGTTCTACCAATGGGTAGTTTCTCTTCATATTGTACATGTCATGTTACCAATGTCACATTTACTTGTTGTATTTTGTATGTAATACAGTTGTAAATTTCATTAAAATAAATAAAAAATAAATAAATAAAAAAAAAGAGTTTTTAAAGATCTTTTCCTACAGTTAGTATAATTTTAATTGGTTTATTTAGTATAATTTTAATTGGTTCATTAAGGAGAAATTTCGAGATCCTAGCTGTTAATGTTTGCGGAAAATTTTTGAAAAGTTATTTTATGAACATCAAATGGGGTATTATTGATTCCGAATTCATGATGGTCTACGAATCACTTCAATCCTAGAAGGGACACTGAAGGACTTAACAAAGTGTGAAAATTCAAGTCAAAACAAGGAAGGAAGTTTTTTTAATGAATTACTTCAGGCAAGTTCTATTCCAAGAATAGTCTGTCTGCACTTGTGTTTACTTCGTCCTTTGTAACGTTACATTCGATTCTTTTCTTTCTTAAATTATAAATTTAATATGAACAAGTTATTAAAATATAAATTTACACACACATATATCTTTATATTTATAAATCATTTAATCTAGCACATAATTGTGTAATTTAATACAACAAAAATCGAAATCCTACATGCAACTCTCCCAAAATTAATGTGTTTTCTCCTCGAGTCTCTAGACTCCTCTAAATTTACCGATAACCTTCCTTTCATATTTTAATGAGCCCCATCACACTACTGGAATAACTCATATTACGAAATGGAATGTGGTTTTCCAAAAAAAGAAAAATTGCGGCGAAAAGATTTCTTCCACAGATAGTTCCACATAAAATTAGACATTGGCTAAACAATGATTTGCTTCTGTTCATGGCAAAACCTAAATGAGGTGATATGGTTGAGCAGGCTAATGCGTTTGCAATACACGTGTTGCCTGGCAATCTGATAAGATAAAGATTACAAGTTCGAGTCCCGAGGCCAGTCATTTAACTCTGGAATAATATCCCTGTCTTTCCTTGCCCAAGAAAAACTAGTGTAGTCGAAAAGACGAAGTATTGAAGAAAATTAAAAAAATATCTATCCAATGTATTTTAAATGTAAATACATACTATAAAAGCTATAAATAGTTACTAAATGTGTACATTCGTCAAAACATGAGTATAAAAATATCTCTAAGCAGTGCTGTTCAGGTAATTAAATTAAAAAAAAAAATTTCAACACTTGAGTAAATCCTTGATCCGTATGCAGGCTCTGGACATACATAACCCGTGGAAATAGACAAAATGGTCTCCCATTCTGTTTATGCAGAATTACGTAAAGAGACCACATTGCGTTTGCAAGGATCTTAATGGCAGCCGAACAAACTTCAACAATGTTTTATAAAAGTAATATTATTGAGGGTCAGATAATTTTTGAAGTACTTTATAATATTAAAATAATGAAGGAAATGAAACTAAAAAGATGAATCAGCTGGACACGCGAACTGCAGCTGACGGGATCCCCAAGACCACATGGCTAATGAGAACGTGTTCTGTCCAGCGGTGCGCACTGCCAGTCCCGATGTACGCCACTGGGGGCTGGTCTACAACACGCCCTCTTGCGTTTTGATTAAATTTGTGTAGTTTCTGAACTTCGTTCCGAATCCTAGGCTGCCCTCCCGTGGCGTATGATTATATTCTCAGACTATACCCATTTCCAACACAACTTAAAATAATATAAATCATCATACAAATATACAATCTGATTTTCCTTAAGTCTAGGCAACCAATAGGAAACTCACATATTCCTTTCCATTTGTTGCGTATTATTTTAGAATATATAATTTTTTATTAGGTCTCAACCACTAGGAACATTATCGCCGCGCGTCTCTGGTTATATTCTAAATGTTGGACTATATCTTCGTCTGTCTTAGAAAATTAAAAAGTTTATCATTGTCACATTGTCAAGTAAAACGGAATAATTATTGTTTGGAATAACGTAAAGTCCTCTTTCGGTTATTTCTCTTCTCTTCGCCTATTTCGGAGTGAAGATTTCCATGGGGATACAGAATACATCATTGCTATCGAGTTAATTTCAATGAAAGTAAAAACATAATAGTTAATTGATAAATCAAGTGTTGTTGTCCAATGTTTTCATTGTTCGTCCAATTTCATTTGAACGCGTGGATGATGGAATAAGTTATCTTAGAAATCTTTTGGGCTTCCTAAGGGCTCTTATACTACTATTGCTGTTATACTAATAGTATTAATTGCCTTGAAAAACTAAAATTTATAAATTATAACATAATAATGTAGTTTTAATTGTATTAAATAAGTATTCGATCGGGAGGGATAGGGGTGCGGTCAATATTCACAAGAAAAGTTGTTGCTATTAATCGGTACCAAGTGCAAAAAATTAAAATTAGTTTAATGTTAATTAGTTGATGTTAAATAGAAGATACCAGATACAATTTATAGATCTATTTTAGAGAGTAAGAAAAGACAAATAGTAATTAAATTAGTATAAACAGAGTAACAATGATGAATAAATAAGTTAAAATGACTATTAAATTTGATAAAATTATATAAAGTAAACAATAATAAAACAAGTCAATGAAAACATTAAGCTATGATAAACAAATGAAGATAAAAACTGAAAGAAATACGATGCAATAAGTATTGGTAGACTAAAAAATATATTACTTTAAGACAGTAATGTATGTTGATGATGTAAATGGAATAAATAAAAATAAAATAAATGTAAATTTAAGTAATTATAAAGTAAAATTAACAGCAATATTAATAATAGAATGATCGATTTTAACTATAATGAGGCAACGGGTATCGCTATTGCAAGTTGCCTCTGTTGATTTCTTAACAGTGATATTTCTCCATACTAATAAGATATATCTGCTAAATACACGCATTTACCATTGAGTTTCTGTATTCATTAAAGTTCATTCATTCATCAAGCAATCGATGTCAACCGTTAGTGATATATCCGACCACGGCAGAACAAATCAAGTACAACCTATGACAAATTCAAGAATTGGGTAAGAAAAAAAACATGGAAAAACCGTTGTATAAGAAAGAACAATCAGAGGCGTGTGATAGCATTAAAGATGGATACCAACACAAGCAATCCCAGATCCCTATTTTTTGCCCCCGATCCCAATAAAGGATTTATGCCTCATCAGTTGGATGTGCCGTAGAGGTGGAGGAACAGCCAGCAGGGCTTTTGATATTGACGAAGGCAATCTGATCCAGGCTTCAGCTAGGGGATGTTCGCCTGCAGATGTCTTTCCTCCTGTCCCATCAGAGCCACAACGAGTTGGCATCCTTTATTCCAACATCAAATTAACTTATGTATTGGTGATAAAATTTGTTTATTTCTAAAACGTATTATTTATTCATAATTTCTTTGTAACATGATGTTTTCAATGCCTATTATCAGCCTAAATAATGTCATTTAATACACTTTTATATAAAAAGGCGCTTTTCATTAATGCTTTATGCTTCTTAAGTTTATATTCTATCATTGTTATTGGTTTGTTTTTTTTAGCTTTATTTTTCTATCTAGGGTTATTTATTACTAATTATAACTTATGAATTTGTAACAACCTAAATATTATAAACATATCTTATAACGCAATCAGTCTTGAAACAAAACAATCTGTTACCGACATATTTTTGTATGTTAACGGATTTTAGTACGTTACTTCTAACCAATGTAGTCTCACAGGGCACGCAAATACAACTAAAGAAATAAATAATAAGAATTACACATCTTTTTATTTTTAGCGATAATGACCATCTAAGGACCGATGGTGTATCATTTCTCGTCTTTCTTATCAGTCCATTTACTCTTCATTTTTTCTCTCTTTCGCTCGTCAGACTATTTTTTCTCGTCTACCCCATCCCTTTCCTCTATAAGCACCTCTAAATTTTTCTCTGTACGGGTATTTTTTTCCTTAATACCATGTTTTGTTATTTCCTCTTTAATTTGACTGGAGTATCATCTAATGTTTCTCAGTTCCTTCACTTGGTCTGATATCTCTTTGTTCAATTTATTTTCATTCATTCTTTTCATGTTCCTAACAAAATTTAGTCTCCTTTTCCTCATTGTTCTTTCCAAGAAGTTTAATATTTACTGTTTAAGCAATAGCTTTTACATAGAGTTTGGTATAATGAAACGATTTAGGAATTTATAAAAGTAATTTTAAGCAGTTAAAAATTATGAAATAGCATTTCAATTTTTACTATAAATCAAATTAGACTAAGAGTTAAAATAGACATCAACATTTCCACAACCATTTTTATTAATATGTTTTTTTTCGATATTGTTTATTTGTTAATGGTTAGAAGTGTAAAAAGTTTGTACACAGTTTTACAATTTTTTTCTGATTTTTAAGGATTATGGAATTCTCGACATTTTTATCCGATGTATAAATTACTTTACAGAATAAATCCCAGGAATCAGCTGTGACGGAAATTAATAACTAAGGAAGTAGCATTAGGGGAGGGGAGGAGGTTCGGCATTAGCTCTCCTTTGTCCTGAGTCCTTAAG